ATCCCAAGTGAAGCATCACTCACTTGACGGGCTTTATTTTCTTCAAATTGGCCTTTTCAACAATGCTCTCCACCTCACTGACGGGATAAAAGTATTTTCTCGTGGAGAGTTGGTTGGCATCAATGCTCCCGGGTGACACAGGGTGACGATGTTCCTTGGGACCGCCCTTACTTTCCTTCACGATGGACTCAATTTCTAGAGCGCAAAGCAGCTGGCGGTGGGCAATGATATCAGAGTAGCGGCGAATGGGGGATGTAAAATGTGTGTACCACGGCAACGCCAACGCATAGTGGCCCCTGTACGTCTCGGTCTCCTCACAGCCATTCACAAAATATACCGCCTGTTTTAGCGAATACTTCAGTACCACACACAACTCGTCGTAAAAGTCACTATTCTTGGTATTTTCAAGAAACCCCTGCAGAGACTTACTCGAGCCACCCCTCAGCTCCAGGCCAACAGAGCTCAACGCCTCCTTAAGAGTCAAGAGTTTTTTGCGATCCGGTGGTTCATGTCGTCGCAGCAACGCCTGATCCGGCATGTACTGCACAATCTTTTCCGCAGCACGTGCGTTTGCCAGTAACATAAACTCTTCTACCAGCCAATTGGCCTCAATCTGTCGCGAGATGCCAAAGCCATAAGGGAATGTAGGATTAGCAATGTCCTCAAAAAGGTATCGGACCTTCATGTTGCCGATTGTCAGGCGGCCACGGTTCATGCTTGCGCTCCGCATCTTCGACGCAAGTTCAAACAATTTTCTAATTGAAACTTCAATACGAACGCAAAGGTGCCTCACATCCTTCTCGTCACCAAAATCCAGCGTATCAAAAACCGTCTTGTCACCATCAAGAATGCGTTGCGCGTCCTCGTACGTCAAACGGCAGCGGTTTCTTATAACGCTCTGACCAAACCACTCGGATTTGACATTGCCGTGATGGTCAAGATGAAATATACAGGAAAAGGCAAATTTATCGCTGCCGGGATTCAAACTGCAGTAGTCTTCACTCAACTTGCGCGGCAGCATGGGGATCACCTGCTCCACCAGGTACACACTGGTGGATCGCTCACGCGCCTCCTCATCCAAAGGGGATCCCGCCGGGACAAAGTAAGAGACATCCGCAATGTGCACCCCAACACGATACCCACCAGGTGTGGAGGTGATGCTCAGTGCATCGTCCAAATCCCGCGCGGTGGCAGGATCTATGCTGCAGACAAACTCCTCCTCGCGAAGATCACGCCTTCCCATATGCAGCAATACCTGCTTGTCTGGTACCTCAAACTCCTCGGGCACACAGGCATACGCTTCATCTGAAAAATCATTCATGGAAATCTCAAAAGCGTTGCATAGCGCAAAGCTATTCGCTCGCACGGAATCAACCTCACCGAGAACGCGTACAATTTTACCCGTCAGAAACTTCCAGGCGGTCCAAAAAAATTCTCCGTCGCTACGTGTTACGAGACGCAGAAAAAAAAAAGTTTTTTTTAATGTGGCATGCAAGGGCACCGGAATGTCTCGTCCAAAGACGGCGATATTGGGCATAAGAGGATCAAAGCATTTAAATTTATAGTAACGATCACTCTTCACAATGTCGTTAGGTGCCAATGCATCGTCGCACAGGCGTGCCACAACAAACAACGGGCTACGACGCTCAAGAACCGCCACCACCACACCAAAAGGCTTCTTGTTCCCCCAGTCATGCACCGTGGGCGCCAACATTCTTCTTGCCCACTGACGCTCTGGCGAAGAGTCATCCCGACGCGTGGTGTCTTGCACCCACCGCGTAATTAAGCGGCCATCGGGAAGTTTTTCGGGCATCAATTCTTTTGCCCCGACAGCTTCATCGTCGTCATCGTCGTCATCGTCTAGCTGCGCGTCACCCTCCACGTCGTTTGCAACGGCGGGCCAGTTCTCTTCGGGAAGCAGCTCCACTGCCACAATGTCCCCATGCAGCGCCTGTTTCCTGTTCTCCACACTACTCACCACCACGTCACAGGGAAACACTGGGCTCCCGACGAAGGCCAGACCTGCTGTAAAGCGTGAAAATATCCGCAGACGTCCAATAACAACTTTGCCGCACCGCACCTTTTCTTCCAACTCGGTGTTGCTGCCAAGGCAGTACTGCTTGACGGCATGCGTGGGCCCCGTTCGACCCGATGCGCCCACGTCGTTCCTCGCTGGCAGATTGGGCTCGTCCATTTCACTCAGTGGGGGCGATGTAAACACAAAGAAACAAAGCCTCCGTGACGGCCTACTAGTCCCTGACCTAAACTTCACCAACGAGCCTCCCTCTCTCCCACAAAAGAAGCAAAAAAAAAAAAAAAAAGCAACGTCAACAAGAACAGCGGAATAAACAAACCATAAATATATAATTTACCCAGTTGTCGCTGCAAAATCCGTTTCAATGGAGTGAGCACTCAATCACGTCCATTACTCTCTCCCTCTTACACATAAATTTAGAATAAAGGGGCGGGAACCTAAGAAAGGAAAAAAAAGCACCACTGAGAGATCAAAGCCTCTATAAAACCGAAATGCCCCCTCCACCTCCTTCAGTCACGGTGTGCATGCGTCAGAAGCCAAAGGCAAGAAAATGGATAAAGAGAGCATGTTAGATGCTCACAGACAGACAGAGAGGAAAAAAAAAAAGACCAAGAACGCCTCTCTTTCCCGCTCTCACGCCTCCATCCAGCGATCACCGTGGCAACACACTATTCCCTCCTCCCAAAAATAAATAAATCTTCGTGGCCACAGAACACAGGAACCAAAAATCACTTCTCAATTATCACCATCATCACCATCACTATCATCCGAGAAAGAGGAAGATGAGTCCTGGAGAAAGCTGCTTAGACTCTTGCTCTTTGTATCACTAAACAACACCACTGCATTCCGCTTCGTCTCTTGCTTTGCCTCAACAATTCCGCTTGTCTGCGGCATTTCCTGCATTTGTTCACCACTGAGTCCTTTTGTCACCAACGCGAGTAGGTGCTGCCTCGTATGGAGTGGTTTACCATCAAGAAAGCCGCCCACAAGATCCCTATCGTAGCTGCACACACGTAACTTCTTCCGGTGCTTCAAAATTGCTTCCGCCACCCTTTCGCTCCGTGTCGTGCTACTGCTGCCGTATACGGCATGATGAATCGAAAAGGCTGCCACCGGACGCATGGTGGAGCGTTCAGCACAAAGAACAGCACGCGCTGGCGGTTCAAAATTCGTCTCGCCACCCCGAGAGGCGTTGTGACGGCCACCCAGAGTCGTGTCAAAGACGTATGTCATCAGAGAATGCACCAGCGCCTCTGTGGCGGAAACGTCAGGACGCACACTTACTTTAGAATTATCATCAGGAACCGCACCTCCACTGTCGGCTTCTGTTGGGTCTTCGTCGTCCAAATGTCTCTCGGTGTGTGTGCGCGCCTCTGACCTGAACTTTTTGCGCGCCGTTTTGGAGGCCACATCGCCACCTCGTTTTTTCGATCCCAACATCCACCGCTCACTCGCCCGCACACCCTCCACCGAGGCGGTGGATGTTGCCAATAATTTCTGATTCACCTCATCCGCATCGCCCATGGAAACTCTATCGGCAGTCAAGCACGTCTTACAGACTTGGCTTATTATCATTTATTTATTTTTGATAAAATAAAGAAGCAAAACGTTACAAAAACAATGAAACAATAAAAGGAAAAAAAAAGAGGCAACACATCGGCCTCCAGTTCCCATTAAATTCAAAAGGCTTTCTTCTTTCTTTTCTGTTTGCTGCAAAGAAAAATATCATGTCGGCCATGTATTTCAACAAATGAAAAAATCGCAAATTTTTACTTCTCCCATTCCGCCTGCAGCCCACTCCATGCCCCCTCCCTCCCGTGCAATGCTCGCAGGTTGTCTTACAAAAGGTCAGCCTCACGCTGCACACGCCGTCCCAGAGCCGTTATTGCATGAGAGAGTGTGTGCCAGTTCCCACCGGGCCCAGTGGAGAAAAAGGGGCCGGAAAGAGGGAGACGTATATTCATGCATGAATGAAGAAGCTGAAGTGTGTGCCGCAACGCCTCTGCCTCCGCCTCGGCCGCCTTTTTCTCGCTCGCCATAACTTCCGCACACGCGTTGCGTTCCTGGGCCAGTCGCTCAGACTCCACTCGCAGCTGGTCCACGAGTTGGCGCACGGACCGCTCGCGGATGGCACCTTCCAGGTGGATCCTTTGCATTTCCCGTTGCACCGCCGCCTTCAATCGGCCTACGCGTTCGAGTTCGCAAAGAGTCAATTCGCGTCGTTGCTGCTCCCTCGCACCGTAGGGAGGCCGACTCCCCTCGCCTGAAACAAATAAAGACGCACAGCTCAGGCACTGCGTACAAACCACCCAATCCCAGTCAAACTCCGCCCTCCTTGCCTCCTCGATGGCGCAAAAAGCCTCTCGCGTGACGTGTTCTTCTCTTTCCAGAGTCTCCCGCGCCATTTGCCTCACATCTTCGCTCTTCAGACGGATACCCCTCTCAAACCCATCATCGTCACCGCTGTCTCTTACCTCGTCCTCTTCCACTCCTAGCGCCCATGATTGCTCGAAAGTCGCAAGCTCGTCCCTTTCCACACGGAGGGCAGCACACAGGCGGCTGAGACGCTGGCATTGCTCGTTCACACGGCACAGTTCTGAGTCCTCGTATGGGCGGCTCGACACCTCCACATCGCTTGTGTGCGCCCTCATCAAACTCGTTTCCCTTGTCGAAGTCGATCGAGACGTCCCAAACACGGAACGAAGAGATGTATCCCTCCTTTTCCGGGAAATGATGCCCAAAAGCCTCTCTTTCTGCTCTCGAGCAGCGCCTATTTCCCTGTCTAGAGCTTCCCTGTGCATTACTGTGCGTTTATTTTCTTCCTCCCGAATTCTCGCAAGGTGGGCACAGTAGCTTTCTACGCGTCCTCTTTCCATCCTCAGCTCCCACTCCAACTGTCGGCGAAGATGCGCAACTCGTCGACCTTCCATCTCATTACGCATGTCCACCTGCTGGCGCATGTCCTCTTCCAACTGTTCCCTCGAGTGCCGCGCCGCGCTACACTCGCTCTCTAAACGCCTTTGCTCCCTGGCCAAGCCACGCACCTTTTCACGTAAACGAAGTATCGTGCCTTCCAACGCCTCGTTCCTGGATTTCTGCTGCTGAATGGTCGTACGAGTTGACTCGAATTCGTCACGCACTGCCTGCAAATCTGCCTTCAGCATTTCCCTCTCCTTCTCCTCCACAACGGGCCCTTGAAGCTGCGCGTCAGGGGAACCTTTCGCTGCACGGATGAATCCAATGGAAGCCAATCGCAACTGCAACTCATTCGTGTCACGCACGGGGAAAACGACAACACGATGGGGCAATCGCCGCGCGTCAAGCAGTCCGTCAGCGGGAAAAAATAACTGAACATGCGACGTCTGCAGCCACCACATATTCACCACACAAGCTGCTTGTTCTCCTTGAGGGCACAGCCGCAGCAGCAAGGAGGAAACCGGGAAAATGTGACAAAAGGACGGGCTGTTTGTCAACAATTCTATGATTCTGTCGTACTCCGAGACGCTGTGAATGTACACGCCACCATCGCCCACTGCCTCAGTGAATAATTTCGCTGTGATGTCAACGCTCCTCTGCCGTGCGTCATGGGGGGTCGGAAAGACCACCAACGATACCGCAACGGCAGCCCCTCCGGAGAGAAACGCACACACAACGTGACGAGACAGGCTGTTCAAAAAAAATTTATCCAACATCACGTCATCTACTCCGATTGCCACGACGTCCACAACCGATGCCTTCGTCCCCTCACCATCCTCATCGTTATTATTGGATCCACAGCCATCTACGACCGCACGAACATGTCGAGTGACAAAGTCAGCGGTAGATTCAGCGGTACACACAGCCGTGGGCGTGGGAATTCGCTCTTTTCGAAAAAATGAGGTAATCGAGTCAACCTCAGACGCCCTGCAAGACACAATAATGTTCATTCTGTCATCATAAGGCCTCAATGGAAAAAAAAAAAATAATAATAATAATAAGGAACAGAAATTAAAAAAAAAAAATAGAGAGAAATGGATAAAAGACACCAGAAATTTGCACAGGAATCCCTTCCCATATGATAAAAGACTGAAAGCAAAGGAGACGTACAGGGAAAGAGCGTCTCTTTCGTTTTTGCGCATGAATCATCCCGCATTGCCCCGGAGACCAAAGCAACCGGCAACGGACGGTTCCTCAGGCAATCTTATGGCGTTGCACCTGCACGCAGTGCAAAGAAGTCCCTCAATCAGACGACGAGCTCCACAACTTGAATTAGGAGCCACACATCCATGCCCGGAATCTCAAATATCCCCTCATTTCCCCCCGGTCGCCTGTAACTTGACGCATGTCTCTTCATGCAGTTCCAACTTGTCCAAACAAAAATGCATGGCATTAAACGGCAATAGTGGCGATCATCACACTCCACTCACGCTTTCCATGCAAGGGCCTGCAAAAAGGTGTGGGGCATGCAAGAAAACCGCTAGCAAAATCGCCATCAACCCAGTCGTGCCTAGTTAAAATTGATAGTGCCCATGGGAATAGGACGAGAAAGCAACAGAGAGAAAAAAAAAGACATATTGCCAGTCCACGCCAAATGAACCCGCAACAGTTGCTCAATACACGTCGTCTTCAAGGAGGCAGCAACATAAAAAGACATATATATGAGGGAAATCCAATCTCACAATCACCCTCAAAAGAAGGGAAGAAAAAAGCTGACATGAACAATACAAAAGAGAAAAATGTAAATCCCCTGTTCGCAATAATAGTAGTAATAATAATAATAATAATGAAGCTACAAAGTGCTCGTGGAAGTAACCACAAGTTCAGGTAGTCCAGTGTTTCTTACAGTTGACCACGAACAACCGTACACAGGATGTGGTGGTCGCAGCTTTGAAACACAATGTGAATCAACGTGCAGAAGAAGGCCCGAAAGCCCCAGGCTCGCGTGGACGATGTCTGCACGCATATCAAAGTCCTTGCGAATACCCCCGTGTTCGGAATCAACGCAATTGCCCATAAACCTGAAGATGGGAAGAACATCCACAGGAAACACAAAATCATGCTCTTGGGTTTGAAGAATGCGAAGGGTGGAGCCGATCCAGTGTGAATAGCATGTGTCACATTCCTTTTGTGGTCTTCCCTGGTATCCAACAATTGGTATAATAACCCCCGTGCTGCCAATGGACTCATGATCGTCAGGACCCCCCGACAGACGTGCGGTACAGTACCGTAATAGTAAGTGATGATGGCTCCGAGTTAGAGAAGACATTGCGCCAGCCAACGCCAGCGAGGCTACCGCACAAAAAGTCATCCCACCATGCGCCTCCGCCCCTGGCACCGCTCCAAATGCACCCTCGTGCGCATCCCAACAGCGCCAAATAAAGGCGACTGCCTCCTGGAGAGTGCTTTGTAGAGATGATACAGTAGACAGTGGTTGTGGTTTGCATAAAAGCGCCATTGAAACCAGAGCCGAGTAGGTAAATCGAATATCCACTTCCGCTATACCCGGGGCCGCCTGAAAAGCACCTCGAAAAGACTCTCCAAAGAGAGGACGCTCGTGTCTAATATGACACGACATCACAAATGACATTACTTTCTCCTTATACGCCCACTCCTCAGTGGCCTTGGGTAGAAAATCACAGAGGTTTAATATCTGAAGAGCACAGTGGGTCATGGACAATGTGGCGCTTGTGTTATAATGGCTCACAGGAACCGGACAAAACCCTCCTGTTTCGGTGTCGTAGCAACGCCGCATCTCCTCAAACAGTTTGTCCCTCTCCGCGTTGAAGACGCCATCATCTTTTCTCCAGTCCACCCCAAGCAAATCACGCCCCAGAAGGGAAAAGTAGAGCAAAATTATCCGTTGAGAATGCTGCTGCTGCTGAACCTTAGCCGGCATGCATCGTTGCGGATCGCTAAAGTACTGCAAGTGAACGAAGTCATCTCCAAGTATTTGTGAAGTGTCGTCCTCGCCCATTACAACCACCGCATGCGGCATCCCATAATCCCTAACAACTTCCTCCGCCTCCCAACAAACGTCTCGGAAAGACAATATTGGGAACAAAGGAAAAAAAACAAAAAACAATGGGTAACTTTGCAAATAAATATTGAAGAGTAAACGCAAATAAAATAAGCCACGCGTGGTCCCATCTCTCACGTGCACGACGGGGCACATTCACGGTATGGTCCCGTCCCTCACCTCCTGCTACTCGTTGAATAAACATTTCTTAAACGGCTTCCTTCTTCGTTTTTATCATGCTTCCTTTTATTTATTTATTTTTCTGGTTGCTTTCTGGTGCTTTTCCCAACACTTTCTCCTCCAGTTTCTCTTGTTGCTTACTCCTCCTTTGTGTTCTTCTTCCGAAGGCTACTTCTCCTCCTGCTGCTCACTTCCCTTGATGACGCCCCACGTGGCTCAAAGCGTCGGGATACCGGACCGCTTCTTGAGATACAACGACAGCACGGAGCTCATGGGGGGTGCCGTGTAGGCGGAATCCGCCAGAACCTCCCCGAGCCACTTCTTCGCTGCCGCCGCACGAATTGCAGCGCCAACTGAGACCTCCTTCCTCCCCAATTCGGAGAGTTTGTTGGCATGAGTGACATCGTGAAAGAACTGCCCCAGATGCCCTTCGCGGCCACTGAAGCTCGATGCATGGTCACTGGTTCCTTCGAACTTTTCAACCGACACTCCCTCTTCGCCTTTTTTCGCGTTGGTATCGACCGGCGCGACGTGCAGGACGCGGAACCCAGAGACCTCATCCACAACCGCCACCCGTTCTTTCCCCGCCCCCGGAAGACACCTCATAAAATGAATGCGGTGCGGTGTCACCGTTGACTTGTGCCGCCCTAATTCTTCCCCCATCCGTTGCACCGCACCGCACAATTCCGTAATCCCTCCATCACTTGTCGCCACAAGGACAGATGCAGCAGAACACGCACACATGGCTGTCAATCGGGTGGAATGGGCTTCCCAGACGACTGATGGCTGATGGGGTGAGGCTAGCGACCAAAAATAAACTCGTGTTTCGTCACGAGCCACCACGACTCGGCTTTCACTTAAAAGCTGAAGTTCTCTCAGTGGCGTCACAGAAAACAATTGCGTGAGTGTATGTAGTCGATGCCAATTTTGGCCCGGAGAGACGTTGGCTACACCATAGACATGTACACTGTCATCTGAAACAAAGCACAACGAGGCGTCCATGGAAAGAATCATATCCGTTACAAAAAGTGACGGCGTTGCCGAGGAAGACTTATTCACCCAACTCTTCTGTCCTGGGGAATACGCGTCATTCGCATCCACAGCTATTTCTCCCCAACACTTCATCCAGTTGGTAGAAAGCGTAAAAACACGTCCATGCACCTCGTCTGTTTGTAGCGCAATCACGCGACTACTGTGAGGAGAGTAAATGGTTTGTGTCTCCACATGCCGTTTGGCGTGCGTGTCATACACCCAGAAGCGAAGCAAGGGGGGAAGCGATGTGCCTCCAAACTCCTCATATGTCACAATCGTCCGGTTATCATTCAGTAATCCCACATGTTGAATGCCATGCCGGGGGGGAATAGCAACTGTCTCCATCTGGGAAGAGATGTGAAGGGAATAAAGCGATTGCTGCGTAAGGGGATCGCAGATACGCAACACGTTCGGCAACCCAGTAAGAATCACGGCAGGTTGTCCCATCCATCGTCCCACCACAAGTCCACTGCACGCCTCACCTGTAGACCACTGAACACCCTCAATGAACACTTCTACCCGCATCTGTAGCAAATCCAGCGTTGCAAGCGTTGACTCTGCACAGGCAAGTAAAAGTTGAGATCCATTGGAATAAGAGGGCACAATGCAGCGAATTGGTCCTAGGCTGCATCCAATCTTCCTATAGGCGTAGGAAGACATACTCCACACCAACATGACCGATTCCCTTGCGCCGGAAAAGAGAGAATTACCGTCTAATGAAAAACCTAAGGCTGTCAATGGGGTATGATGCCAGTGATCCGAGAAGTGGTGGCTTTCGGTGACAGAAGGGAAAACTATCAATTCACCCCGCGTGCCACCCACAGCCATAGAGTTATTGACAGGATTGCACGCCAAGCTCTGAATACCTATGGGCAGATGGAGTTGCCTGGTGCCGTGAACATCGCGTTGGTCATAGAGGGAAAATCGCGCCCATTTTTCACCTCGTTGACCAACAACAACAAGGCCGGTAAACCTTCCTGTTGCCATCGTGCAATCACGCAGTGGAATGTGGAAGGGCATTATTTTCTCCGCCTTCATCTCCGACGCGTCCCGCAGTGACGCCTCATAGACACCACCTGCCGTAAGGAAGACACAATGAAGCTCCCCCTTCGCCTCATGAAAGTGCGCCTCCAAAATTCCCCCTTCTTTTTGCATACGGGCCTTCTGCACCACATTTCGCCGGCATGATACCACCGGCTTATCGCCAGTCTCTGCTGAAGAGTTGCGCCTCCATTGAATCGAGGAAGATGCCACCACCTCCACGTGAGCAAGGGAAATTAGGAACCAATTTGCCTCCGCGTCAACGACATGGAGCTGCATGTCGCCAGCCACATTCGCCAAAACACATAACCCAACGACACGCGCCCCACTGAGTTGCTCCACACGGAATTTCTTTAGATTCTTTGGGGCATAAAAAGCAACGCTGGAATCCTCCGCGACACACACGGCGTCCTTGCAAACGGCGAGGAGGTGCGGTAAGACCATGTTTGGGTAAAGGCAGAAAAGGATTCTCCTCCCTCAGTCTCGCTCTCCCTTCCCTTCTAACGTGCAGGTGCTTTCCTTCTCTCTGTGTCTTTATGCCAAAACACAGAGAATAATGGCAGTAAGTGTCTGTTTCTCTTTCTCTCTCCCCGTATTTGTGCGGGTGTATCAGTAAGCAACTCCAGTGGGGCTCGATGCGGGAAGGTATTCATGGCCAGTGCCAAAGTGAAACAAAAGAAAAAAAAAAGGCAGAAATTGTATGGTTGGTATAAATTCATATATGCGAGCATGAATGAACATTTACAGGAAGCAACACGTAGACACAGAGAGAAACAGGTTCGTTAAGAACCAACAAAACATTTTCAAAGGTGGCAATAAAGATCGCCCCATACACGCGTACATACATAGATCTGTATGCATCCCATTCATACCCACCCCTTCTATCCCTGCATATACCCCATACCCTCCTCCCTGTTCACCACTTACCTCCATTCCTTCTTTTCCTTTTTATTTTTTTATTTATTTTTTTTTTTTGATTGCGATATTGTCGCCATTTTATTATTTTATATATTGTTTTGTTTTTATCCCCATTCTTCCCACACACACACACACACCCAAACACTTCTTCTTCTGAACAAAAACGCTTCGAGCGACGACGCGGAACACGTGCACTGAAATACATGCCAAAAAGTTGGTTCAAGTACTGCGAAAATAACAACAACATCAATATCGACGAAAATAAAAATTTTTTTTATAAATTTATAACTCCTATCTTTATCGAAAAAGGAGACGGCCACGTTGGAGAACAAACGTTTTAGGGGTTTGTTGTCCCGTATCCTTCGTGCGAACGAAAGAGCGACTCCGTTTCGTTCTCCCCGGCAGTACTATTCCTCCACCGGTACAAGATAAACGTCACAAGAAGAAGAACAAGAGCGGCGGCGATAAGAAACAACCTCTCGCGTGAATTAAATTGATGAGGCCATTTATTGGCTGGCGCCGACGATGTATTTGTCGCGTTCTCCTCGGATGCCAACCCAGCGAGTTGTGCGCCGGATGGCACGTTGGCTGATCTTTCCATCATAGACATCTCTTCACTCGACATGCCTTCCATTTGAGAACTGTTCTTGTGGTGGTTCTCCATATTCCTCATGCACATGGAGCAATTCATGTGGTGCATTGCGCCCGACATGCCTTCCATTTGAGAACTGTTCTTGTGGTGGTTCTCCATATTCCTCATGCACATGGAGCAATTCATGTGGTGCATTGCGCCCGACATGCCCTCCATTTGAGAACTGTTCTTGTGGTGGTTCTCCATATTCCTCATGCACATGGAGCAATTCATGTGGTGCATTGCGCCCGACATGCCCTCCATTTGAGAACTGTTCTTGTGGTGGTTCTCCATATTCCTCATGCACATGGAGTAATTCATGTGCTGCATGTCAACAAAATGGTATACGACGCGTCCATTCAGAGGCTGGGTTGGGCGGTGATTGCCGTTGTGGTTCCCCGGGCGGGACCGCTGAAACGCCTCAACCAAACGCTCTAATGCCGTTTTGGAGATAATCTGAGGAGATGTCAGCACAACAAATAAAACCCCCTCGGTGCATGGTGGTGTGGTCAATGATCCATTGTAAGCAAAGTAGCTTCCACTTTGCGGTAGAAATCCTGCAATCGTCATGTTTTCCGTTAGCGTGCACGTCGTGACGGCACGTTTTGGCGGAAGCGACCCATCTAGTAAAATATGTTTCAGTGCCGCAACGGAAGTGGAATTTATTTTATCCGACGCAACAAGCTGCACTACAACCACCATAAGGTGTGGCTGCCTCGACTGCTGCGTGTGAGCGAACACAAGATGCAGCTCCGCGTCTGGATTTGCGCAGGGAAGGACATGCTCCGCGGGGGAGTGAAAATGCATCGAAACAAAGTGATATTCCGGTGAATCCCGGTCCGTGGGGTCACGGACCGTGCAAAGGCTGGGGATCTTATTTGTCGGATCGTCAAGGGGGATAAAACGCACCGATATCGTATTGACCTCGTTCTCAATTTTGAGCGATGTCTTCTCCGCCGCAAAATTGCAGCCACGTGAAAAGACAAGCGGCCCCATGTCTTTGCGGTGAACCACTTCATTTGGTTGGAGCTCGGAGAAAGAAACAGGACTCTGCCGCTTCCCCGTCTGGCACAACTTGGGCCAGGCAGTGAGGTTGGTGTATCCCCACTGTGGCCCCTGAGGCTTTTCCCGCGGCAGCCCAGCTGTAGTGTAGCCGTTTTCCGCAGAGACAGTCGACATGAGGGCATGTACGTGGAGACACAAAAGTGATAAAATAACGGCCTTTATCATCTTACTCCCTTCCCTTTCTTCTCCTCGCTGTATGCCACAAGTCATTCTGGGGGGGATCTATACTTGTCTGCCGCTCTTCAGACGCCGCGGCCAAACAGAAACACACATCCGAAAAAAAGAAAAAAAAAAAAAAGAGAGAGAGAGAGAGAGCAAAGGATCAAAACAACCTCTCTTATCCAACATGCATAAATTCCCCGGGCGTCGCCCTCCTTCGATTAAGTTTCTTTTTTTTTCTTTCACTGGTCTTCGTCAGTTTAAAACCTTCTCTTGTCCTGCGCCTCCTCCCTCCCAACCACTCGTCGTTGACCGTACGGCGTGCGGATGTTGACGGTTCCGTGAGGCCTGTTGTGCACCCATGGCAGTTGCGGCGCAATCCCCAATCGCCTCCGCGCAGCCCACACTTTAAAGACGGTCATGCAAAAATAAAAAATAGAAATAAAATTTACACAAAATGCTTTTTGCGCTTCACATAATCTTTGTTCCCCCCTCCCCTCTTTTTTTTTCCCACACACCCCGTGTCCTCTAATTTGTGGGACTTGCAGTGCCGTACGACCTTTGTGCTGCCGCCCGGCGCGACTCCAGAAAACGCTGCCGCGAGGCGTTTCCATCTGTCCGTGTCGACGCAGTGTTGCCATCCACCGGCACCGCTGCGGAGCCGTGCACATCCAGAAGCTCCTCATACTCTTCCCCCGACAAGCGCCTTGACCGCAGACAACGATTTACAAGCAACGCCGTAAGAACCGTAAAGAAAAGAAGAGCACTAAACCACGCGACAAACGGCAGCCAGGACCAATTTGTGCGGCCCCGAATAGGATCAGTGAAGGATGTTGGCACCAACGGGGAAAGTTCCCCAGTCTGCAATCCCTCGCAGCCGTCATGTCCCCTCATTACAACACATTCATTGTGTGACGCCCCTTGCCTTCCAATGCACATCCCCTTCTTGGCACCTGAACCACACAGGGGTGCGTCAGGCCCCTCCTTGGCGACGCTGCTGCCGCTGACGATCGCCATGGATACATTGCGGCCCAGCGCTTTGGTCAGTGACGCAGTGCGTTCAATCATCCCCGACAGCGACACGGAAGCATTTCTTGACGACACCATTCGTTACTAATTTCTTAAGATCAGAAAAACGAAAACAAACACACACACGGCCGCCCTCTTCACTGAAGATATTCCCTTCACTCCCACCTTCTCCGACACCGGCGCCAACATAAAACACACACGCGAGGAGAAAAAAAAAAGGCAAAAACAAATTTAGGCAAGTCAGGCAGTCCGTGAGTGCGTGTGCACGTGAGCGAAAAAGGGCTTAGCGTGGCAGCTAACTAAACGGCAGACTGCATTTCTAAAAGAGGCAACAAACCCACTCAAATCATACATCCGCGCAGCCAACCAAAACAAAAGACAAGGAAACAACAAGACAATAATAATAATAATAAACGGCATCCCTCAAAAAGCAAATATACACACACGAATATGAAGATAAACAACAACAACAACAAGAAGGAAAAAAAAGAATAGCTAAATAAATAAATAAAAGTCAAAGCAAAACAAGGGAAAGGATAAAGCAAAGAAAGTGCCTCACAGACACACACACAACAACAACAACAACAACAACAACAACAACAACACACACAAAAAAAAAAAAACGGTCCTTTACTCCAGCAATTCAACATCACCTTCACTCTCTAGCCATATCTCCACTCACACTGTTGCAGTCTTCACATACATCGCCCACTACTTCACGCAGTCTCTCTCAGCATCACACATGAAAACTCCCCTTTTTGGTGCAATTAGTCGACATGCGTGTGCCCCCCTCCCCTCCTTGCTGCGGTCTCTGCGTCTCATTGAAGATTGGAGGGAATTTTTCGTTTACGAAGTTAAGGGTGCGTCACTTTTAAGGGGCGTATAAAACGTATATTGGCACAATAAAAATAATAAAAATTAAAATTAAAAGAAAAAAAAAAGAGAGAAGGGGGGAGGGGGAGGGGGGGGAATTAAAAGAAAAGGTCGGAAAGAAACGCGCATCACCGCTGCGACAATAAATAGGCCTCGTTTCTTTGCCGGGACTCTCCAGTTATCCCCGCCTCTCCCTTTCCCACCTTTTTCTTTTCTTCTCTTCTCTTTTCTTGTTTTTGCCTTTGTTTTTCATCGCCTCACAACGGCGGGTCTCCGCAAGAGACGCCCAACATTTGCACATCGTTCCAAATGTGCCCCGCCCCCGCCCCCCACTCTTCCCGCCCACAGGAGGAGCGAGAGGAGAGGAACGGAAGGCGGAGAAGGGGAGAAGGAGAGAAAGAAAGAAAGAAAGAGATGCGTGCAGTGCGTTAAAAATAATACATAAAAATATAAATATATTTTTAGTTATTCATTCGTTCCATCGCCTGGCCCCTGTTGCCCCCTCCAGTCATCGCGGGTGACACACTCACGTGGGTGCATAACAACTCACCCACGCAAACTCCCCATCCACAAAACAAAAACAAAAAAAAAAGAAGAAGAAGAGGGAAGGAAAATGATGGTCACAGACACCACGACTTTTTAATACAACACAATTGAGCTCCTTCTGCACGTATACAAATATAAGTATGTAGACAGGGTTGTAAGGAGAAAACAAAGAGAAAATATGCGTGCAAGTATCCGCGTGCAGAAAAAAAAAGAAAAAAAAAAAAAAAGCACATGGAACCCGTTGTGGATACATTTGGGGATGCACATAAAAGTACACAATAAATGGGAAAAACCCAAAAAAAAAAAAAAAAAAAAAAGGGAGGCGGCGCAGATGCACACATGCGGGCGCCAGAATACATGTATATATAAATATAAAAATAAATTAAAGGAAAAAAAAAAAAAGAAGAATTATGAATGAATGAATGAATGATAATGAAGAAAGAAAGAAAAAGAAGAATAATAAAAATAATAATTATAGTAAACACACACACACAGAGAGACAGACAGACAGGCAGACAGACAGACAGACAGAGACGGTGGCAAAGCACAAATAAAACCCCATTTGAAGGCAAAAGTAAATAAAATTCTCACCATTCTTGTCGGGGGGGTGGGGGGGGGGGGAAAAAATAATAATAACAATATATATATATATATAAGCACAGGAATTTAACGAAGGGAAACATTTAAAAAAAAAAAAAAAAAAAATCAAAAACAACAATGACAACAATAAATCTCAAAGACGTCCTCTCTTTTTCTTCTTTTTTTTTTTTTTTTTCTTTTGCTCCTTTTTATTATTGATTGTTTGCCCCTCGTCTTCCCCCATCAGTCCCAATTCCATCCGTGTTTTTTGTTTTGTTTTTTCATTATTTTATTTTATTCTTTTTTGCCTGCCACGCACCGCACGGTCCCCGTCTTATATGCGACTGTGAATGTGTGTGTGCGTATACAAAATGAAAATATGCAAATATATTTATATATATATATTTTTTTCCTCTGTTCGTTTTCAGATTGTAAATATAATAAATAATAAATAATAAATATATAAGTTCTCTCTCTCTCTCTTCTTTTTGCCTTTTTTTTTTCTTCCTTTTTTAATTCCCTTTTCGTTTTTTTTTTTTCCCTGTTTTTCTTTTTGTCTGTTTGTTTGTTTGTTTCTTCTCTCCTTCTCGCTCTTGTCTCGGGCTGCAGGCAAGACAAAAAAGAGAAAAAAGAAAAGAGCCGTGGTAGAAATAGGAGAGGGGGGAAAAGAAAGAAAGAAAGAAAGAAAGGGAGAAAAGGAAAAGGGGGGGAAGGAAGTTTTCTCATGCAATCGCCTCGTTGATGGACCGGTCCGAGACGAGTTGCTCATTTCTTTGGATATTTTCCGTAACATCAATGTGGATAATGGCGCCTGGCTCAATAATGGGCCGTACCCTCACATTGTAGTATGCCTGCTTCTCCTGCTGTGCACACAATGGAGAAAATGTTGCCGCAAACACCTTGAAGACACCCAGGCACTCAAAATACCCCGGCATGGACTCCGCCGGAGTTGCCACAATGCGTTCCAACTGACTGATTTGAGGTTCGGATGGCCCTTCCGGCATGCTATCCCTCGACGCCGAACTAAGCATAGACGTGGAGCCGCTATTACTCCTTCGCATCTTCATAAGGTCAATGTAACTTCCCGCTTTCGCCTGAATTGCAGGCCATGCGGATACACGCAGCTTCACACAATTAAATCGAGCACGCTCGTAAGAGTGGAAAAAAACAATGAAGGATAAATAATGTTTCTCCTCACTTGTAAAGCATTGCTGAAATATGTTGTAAACAGGGGTCAATATCTTTTTAATAACAATCTTCTGCTCCACGTTGGTCGGATGACAGTCAAGATTGGAATTGTACGTACATTCCCTGGGAAGCATCCACTCAAAAATATTAACGGCATCCTCCAAGGGCCTTCCATTGCTTAGAATCTTGGAAAACATGCGACAGGCCAGGCGAACACAGGCTACGATGACATTAACCTTCTCCTCCGTAAAAGAAGGCAATCTGGTTTCCTGTCCATGAAAATATTCGTTACCGCCTTGACAATTGCTGTTCGCCGCCCCGTTGCAAAACGCAACAAAATCTCTTAGAAGCCCAGGGAGTTGGCGGTACGCCTCAGACCACTTTCCTTGAGTTACACACTCCACCCAATGGTGCGCCGCCCACGCCTTGGAACGACAACTATCCGAACAGTATAAAACTCCACAATGACCGTTGCACTGCACAATATGGTGCTCGTTATATAATCTTTTAAGAATGGAAGGCTCAACATCCGACAATCTCTCGCAAAATTCCTCAATTTTCGTAAGAGGTCGGAAGCACTGAGAACAGAATTGCGGTGTGGTGTTATTACCATGATTACCACTGGGACCCACTCCGCCACCACCACTTAAATAGTCATACTGCTTCAGTGAAACAACTGCCCCGGATGATTCAACCCATGCCAATTCACCGGCTCGTAAGTCTTTTTTTGCCTGGAGAATCACATTTAACGTACGACGATCCAATGCAATAGATGCTGCCTTTCGATGCTCATATTTGGAGGCGTACAACATCATGATAAAGTTACTTAATAAAAGATACTTAAGTGTCTCGTTGCCGGGATCGAGCGAGAGCGCCTTCTCATAATAAGTTCTCGCCTCCTCAAAGCGTTTCATGCCACGCAATGTGTTACCCGCACGCACGTAGCCTAAAAAACTTTGAGGTATTAACTCAATCACACGTGTAGCATCCTTGAAGGCGGCTTCTAAATTTCTCATTCCGAGATATGCAACAGAACGGTTTGATAAACATCTCGCTCCACCATCACTGCTATATTTGAGTGCTTTAGTGTAGTATCGCACCGCCTCTCTGTAATTTTCTTTGCTGAGAGCCTCATATGCCTTCCTTGTGGCGTAGTTATATTTACAACGTACCGCATCCGCCTTCTCTGGAATCGGTGCCTCATGCTTGTTTTCTACCTCATTGCAACGCGAACGTCGCGTCGCTTCGGCCGCTGTTAGAGATCGCTGAGTCCCCTTTATCTTTGCAGAAGCTGGATCGTTTCCACGGATGGAATTCCCTATAATTGCAACGCCCTCCAAATCATGGCTATCGTCCTCGGTAGCACTGGAGTAAAGCTCAAAGAGGCCCTTATCATTACCTTCTCGCGTATTAACACTCATTTTCACAATTGCACCTTCCGCATGATGGGTTGGAATGTACTTCTTGAAGCGCACCTTGGGCTCACTGAGGCAGGCACGGTATAAAGTGCAGCCAATAATCAACTCCGGGTCCGTTTCGCAAACAACAAACGTGTAGTCGCCTTGGTGACGCACCACCCGTACAGACCGTCGACATTGTCCGAATAATTCATCCATGAATGGTTCCCACAACTCGTTTGTTTGCGCTATCTTCGCAGGGCCAATGTCAACAAGCTCCACCTCGCATCCAATCGGGTAGTCTTCAATAGATGGTGGCGGCGGACGATCCTCCGTGTCAAAGGCCTCGAATGAGGGCAGCTCCAGGCAATCCGTATCACTCATGGCGGACCTCCTCGGCCAAAGAAAAAAACCAAACACACACACACAAATAAGGAAAATTACGGCTACCTACTTACCAATATTATTCTCCTCGCAACCCCCCTCCGCTGATGTCTCCTAATATATTATTATTATCTTTTTTCTTTTGCACCTTTTTTTGTTGTTGTTTTTGTTGTTGTTTTCCTTTTTTTTACGTTTTCTTTTTCCTCCCCTTCCTTGTTTCTTCCCTTTAAAGTCACGATGATATATGTGTGCTGGGTGAGGGTGTTGCGTATCGCCACTCCCACCAAAAGCAAGAAATACAACGTTCTCCTGAAAAAAGACCAGCCACAGATGAAAAGGCAGCGGTGTTAAACACACACACACACACACACACACCTGTTTGTGGCTGCCACTAGCAAAGCAAGAAAAAAGAAATAATATGCACCTGACTGAGGCTCTTTCCCTTATTCCTACAAAAAAAAAAAAGAGAGAATTATATATATAGAAAGAGAGAGAGAGTAAAACGATAGAAAACGATGTTTTATCGTTGAAGACACCCGGCACCCCTCACACTTCGGAGGAGGCATATCCCACAGACAAACACACACCCATGCACCAGGAAGCCAATAAGTTTATAAATCAATCTACCACAAGCAGGTTTGTTTTGAAACAACCAAACGACATTCTTTCTTCAGGGTCTCCCCGCGTGGGAAAGAGAAAGAGAGAGAAAGAGGTATTAGTAGGGAGTGGACATGTGTGGGTGGAAACAGCATTGTTGCAAAACACCATCATTGTTTCCTTCTTTTCCCATTCCATCTGCTTCTCTACCATAAAAGTTATTTTGGCCTTTCATTCTCTGCAAACATCTCATCAAAGATGCGTGCCATCCGCATGGCATCTTCATTCTTTATGCGCGGGTCCTTCAGCATAGCGGCAAACGTATTGGCAACGTCTTCCCAGCTATGCGTTCGTGAAGCCTCCACTGCCGCCATGATGCGTGGGACCTGCTCTATGGTCAGAGAGCTTTTAAACTTCGCCTCGGTGTCACTTGGCGGCTGCATAAAAGAAAGCTCCTCCAAGGCCCGCTGCACACTAGCCAAAGCGGGAATCTGGTCGACAAGTGTGTCATTGAGGAACCGACGGATGCGAAGAATAAGCTCCTTCTTGCTCTGTGTATACGGATACCGCCGTCGACACTCAGGGTCGCACAGCATCTTATGAAGGGAGAACCACGTATGTGCCTCGGGGACACACACAAGAAGAGCGTCTCCCTGTGGGACATCCTTAAATTCCCCATTCACATACTTCTGTGTCGCACCCGAGCCGCGGCGTAACCAGGGTTGAAGCATCATGATCTCTGAGAGGCCCAACACAGATCATTCTTATTAAACACCGAGTTAGACACCGAAAGAGGCAACTGCTCCAGTCGATCAATGATAAACCAAAGAATAGACAAAGAAGTTAAAGCGCGCTGCACCATGCCGTGTGATAACTGTCGTTCCATATGCCGGAGTGAATCCTCTTCACTAATTTCCTGGAGTGTGGGTCTAGCTGGGATATCATTAATCCCCTTCTCTGCAAAGAGACGGGAGGTTTGTCGCCAGCAATAATCTAAAAGCTCCAAAACATCATCATCAAGGGCCACCACAACCTCTTCGTGAAAACAAATACATTCAAACAGGTTTACCAAAACCATTTCGTAGTAGGGAAACATATACATCGCCGTGGGATTCCCTGCCATCATGTCCTTTACCAAGGGTAGCACGCGATGACGCCACGCCTCCATCACCAGCAACTCATGCAACAGGACCGACAGTTTTTCATGCTCTATGAGAAACGCCTTGACGGTATCATCCTTCTTAAGAACGGCGTTGCTGTGAGAACACATGTTGAGCCGCTCAACCATCTCACGCTGGTCTTTCCATTCAGTCGTGCCAACCTTCTCAATCGACATCGGCTTCAGTTGTCGCACCATTATTTCCACCTCAGAGACGGAGAGTGTGCTGCCAGAAAACTCCATGGTTTTGCTACACTCTTTAGTTTTCTCACAGAAGCACGTACTTACGTACAGCCAACCACAATAACAAAAAGAAAAATGTCAAGGTTTAAGTAAATCAAAAAAGATAATAATAAATTCAAAAAAAAAAAGGTTTTGTGTGAGAAAAAGTAAAAGGGATCTGTTAACATGTGGGCACATAACATCACCAGCAAGAGAGCGGCCATTCAAGCATACATATCGTGGCACCACGCTCCATCCCCACCGTCAAAAAGAGGAGTGACACCACAATACAAGTAGGCATGTAAATCAGGGATGGGGAATATATATTTCCCTGTCTCCTGCGCCATTCTAGGTAATACACGTTGAACGCAATTGCATCTATCAAAGTCATTTACACAACTCACTCAAATCACCCCTCTACCACGGTAAATAGATGGGAAAAAAAAAAAAAAATCTCTTCTCCCCGCCTCTTGCACGTGAACATCTACTCCTTTGTCTTTTTTTTTTTTTTTTCATCCCCTCTTCTAAAGGCAGGATAACGCAAACAACGCAGTTCTTCGGGGGATGTTTCGTTTAGTTCTCCTTTCCGCCCGAGAAGTCCGCGGCACCTCGCATGCGCTTCCCTCTTGGTGGCTGGATGCCGTTTGGAAGATAGTAATACTTAAGCAGAAAGGGGTGATTGACCACGCGGTGCAACGCAAGACGTTTACCCCCGTCACGCAACAAGAGACTTGAAATCAATTCCTTCGCCTCCGGTGGCACTGTGTCGGGGATGGTGTACTGCATTGCGTGAATCTTCTTACAAATGTTCTCTGTGTCCTTGCTTACAAACGGCGTCTTCCCCACAAGTAGTTCGTAGCAGAAGATGCCGAGGCACCACAAGTCTGCGCTCGTGTCATACGGCTGGCGCCCAACAATCTCCGGCGGGAAATACTCCGGTGTGCCGCAGGACGTCTTCCGGCGGTTGTGAGGGTCGTGCACAGACCACCCAAAGTCTGCCAACTTAATGTTTTGATTGTGATCGAGCAGAATATTTTCCGGCTTAATGTCGCGGTGAAGAATGTGATGCTGGTGGAGGTAAAGAAGCGCCTCGGCTAACTGTGCAACGTAGCGAGCTGCGGTTGGAGGAGGAAAACACTTCACCCGGTTCAGTTCTGTGTACAGCATCCCATTGCTGCAGGGCTCTAGAATGAGGTAAATGTCTGTGTCGTCGAAGAAGTACCCATACGTACGCAGCAGATACCTGTGACGGGTGTGAAACGCAATCTCGATCTCCCGGCGGAGCTGCGCGACAATGTCAAATTCCGCCAGTTTCTTGATGGAAAGTTTTTTGATGGCGCACACAAAGTTACAGTCCCGCACGGAAGCCAAGTAAACATCCCCGTAGTTGCCGCCCCCCAATTTGTGAAGCATTTCAAAGTCCGATGCCTTCCAGTCGGACCGCGGGGCTTTGGGGAGTGCAATGTAACTCGCCACAACTTGGCCGCCCTCCGCCGCACTCATCTACTCGTGCCACACTCAATAAGACAGGCGCAAACAAAAATTAAAAATGATAAATGACAACCGCCGCCGCAAGAAGACTCGTCCGTCCTCTCAGCCACAAAAGGCACCTCAACCTCCTTTTTTGGGGGGGGTATTGTTGTGGGGTCTTTTCACTGGACTCCAACAGAGGTGTTCCCGCGTGTGTGTTTGTGTCTGTGTATGCCTCTTCCCTTCGCTGCGACAGAAATGACAGCTCCAAACAATCAACAAGAGGAAAACACAAAATGAGAACAACAAGAAGAAAAAAAAGAAAAAATAGCGAGAGAGAAAGACCTCATACCCACCGCGTGCGATACCACAGACCAACTCGGCTTCACTCCAAAACTAAAACAAAAATAAATAAATAAAAAACAAATGTGAGTTTCACACTCTGTGCCGCCTCCTTCCTTCCTTCCTTTTTTTTTTTTTTCCGTTCGTCCGTTCCCGATTCTTTTTGGCCTTCACTTCGGGGTCTGGCGCCCCTCACCTTGCACACATCCAAGCCAGTCAGGGACGAAGACGTTCTCCCTCCCCTCTCCCCTTTCTGCAAGCATTTCATGCATCTATCGATGTGTTTTATTTAGTGGGGTGGAATTTATTGTTCGTTTTTCTTTTTCTTTTTTTTTTTTATTTTGCCCATTTGACTCTTTACTCCCGGTGCACGCCTGTGGATATGACACGGCAACTGCGTCTGCTCTCATGTACAATTGGATTCATTTTTCATGCTGCGAACAACTGATCAAAGGTGCGCTCCTCGATGACTGAAAAAGCGCCGTCCCTGTCCTTGCGAATGTAGTAGAACGTGTCCAGTGCCTGTCCACCGAGTGCCCTCACAAATTGCTCATCGTGTGTGATGACAATCAACTGAAAATGTTTCACGGCGCGGTGGTTTTCAATAAGCAAACGGAGAGACTCTGCAAGCGACCGGGCGTTGTCCTCGTCCAGGTTTGTCGTCGGTTCATCAAGCGCAAGGATGCCGCAGTCACAGCAGAACGCCTCACTAAGTGCAAGACGAATAAGCACGGATGCCAACACCTTTTGGCCAGCGCTGCACCGGCCACGCATGTCCATCTCGCTGTTCCCTCGTTTCATCACAACGCGGTAGCTATAACTACGACGCGCCGTTGTCGACGTCACATCATCCTCGGAACGAAGTTCCACGGTGTCAATGTCACTTCCCTTGTACGTCTGTCGCCAAAGGTCCGCCAAAATCTGATTGATCTGTGCAATCTTCTCCTGATGGTAAGACTGCACTGCCTTCTCCAATGCCCTGTAGTACTTTTCAATATCCGCAACGGCAATTTCGGTTGTTTGGACCTTTAAAAAGGTGGATCGGTATCGTTTCTCGATGTCGTGGTACTTCTCACGGGCCAGTTGACTCCGGAGGTTTGTGATGTCTTGCATCATTGCCTCCACATTTCCCTCCTGCTGAGCACGGGATCGCTCCAACTCGCTCACCTTTTCGCGGATGAGCTCCCGGATGCGTGAAACCGTCTCACCCGCAATGACATCTGCCCCCAATATTGCCGCAACTCCACGAATCTCCCGGCTCTTCATTTCGGTAAGAGAGCGCTCCACCTCCTGCAGTCGTGCCTGATCCTCATCAATCGATTGACGCTTCTTAAAGGCCTCGATGTGCTTCCCCACCTCTACCGCCTGACGGTGCTGCTCATCCACCACACGTCGTGACTCCTGGATCGCCTCACGCAGCTGTCTTACCTCATCCACGGCTCTCAGGCGCGATGCCTCTGCCAATTGCATTTGTTCCCGTGCTCTGAACAATTGTTCCCCATGCTTAGACGCAAAGTAATCGCGCATCTTGGGCACAATCCCCGCCAACATTTGCGTCGATTCCTCTATTTTCCCAATTCGGCCTTGCTGCGCGGCGCATTCGGCATCCTGACGCGCCCGCTGAAGGGTGTCAATACGACTTTGTAGACGCAGGAGCTCCTCTCGCACTCCCTCTTGCCCAGCGTTGATTGCGGCAATGCGCTCCCTGTAGCCATTTTCCTCACCCTTGTATCGTGCAAGTACCTCCTCCAGTTCACCCTGCCGCATCCATTTCATCTCCAACTGGTAGTACTCAGCCCGCCTCGCGTTGAGCTCACTGGCAGCCGCCTGGTCAGACTCACCATCTTCACGTCGCTGTGCCTCATTCAGCATCACATTAAGACGATGAAGCTCCGTATTGGCACTCTCATACTCCGCCGAAACCTCTTCGTATGTTCGAGCACCGCCGTCAGCACCACCACCAGCCGCGGTCACGACTTCCGCCTGTAGCTCCTTGATGGCAGCTTCCCTGCGGGAAAGTTGTTGCCTGAGTGCACGGACATCACAAGCGACCGCATTTAAATCGATCGCCGTGCGCATCAAATCTTGCACACGCTTCAACTGATGCTCCACATCCTCCCGCTTCCGCTCCGCATCCTCCAACAAGGCAGACTTGTTCGCCAGCTCTTCATTGGTACGTGTCACCAGCAGCTCCAGATGTGGAACGCTCGACGCCAGACGTCTCACGTCATGCACATCAGCCTCGAGAGTTTCAAGAATACGCACCCTTTCCTCTGCTTCTTTCGCCTCCAAATGAGCCTTCTCAATCATCTCTGGTGACGCCCCATGATGTCGCTCGTTGAGCTCCACAAAGTTGGCAAGCGACAACTCATCCGTAAAACCGCGGTCGCACACGGGACATTTTCCCTCCACCCTAGCCACCTGCACAAAATTTGCGTAGCATGTTGACATTGCCTCCAGTGCATGATGCCTGTTCCTCGCTGCTTCTAATAAATCACGGGCCTTCTCAAGGACAGCCTCAAAATGATCAATTTCACCCAAGCCATCAAGTGCCTTCACGCAGTTTGTGCGCTTCCGCTGCAACTCGGAGTTTTCCCGCATTATTTCCTCCATTCGCTGCGCCCGATTCTGTTGTAGCACGGCAATTTGACGATCGAGCTCACCGTGCTCGGTTTGAATAGCTCGGAGTACCCCCAGCTTTTGTTCCCTGAGCTGCTCAATGAGGAGGGAAATCTGCGACAGGGAACTTCCCTCAGTCATCTCGTGCCCAAAATTAGACAACTCCGGCACGAGTGTCTCCCTCATCTCGGCCTCAAGAAACCTCTCCTTCTCTGTAATCTGTGTCCGAAGAAGATTCATCTCCGCCTCACCACCCAAGCATTCCTTGTGTCTCGCCAATTCCTGACGCAACCCTGCAACAATGCGATTTTGTGCATCTATTCTCTGCAATATGTCTTGTCGTTGTTTGTAATTTTCCCCTTTCTTCTTCAATTCTTCCATTACCTCCAAACGCTGCTCCAATTCGGATATTGTTTTCTTCAGTGACTCAAGGTATGTAGCTCCAACATACGGCTTCAACTTTCCCAATGCCTCCTCGGTGCTCACAACGCGCTGATGTAGGTGTTTTAGTTGGTCCTCCTTCATATCCTTCTCCTTGTTATCGGCATCCATTGAGCGAAGCAACATGTTCCGTTGATCCTCAAGGAGTTTCTTCTCGTCATCAAACTCCTTCAATGCCTTGTCTCGTTCCGCTCTCGCCAGTTGTAATTCCGCATTCAAGTGATCGCTCACACGCTGCAGGTCTTCCTCGCACATGTCATCATCACACAAGACAAGTCCTGTCGAGAGGTTCTTGACAATTCCCTGAAGCTCCACACGGTTTTCTTTATATTGCCGCTCCTGCTGCTCAAGAAATTCAGTGGTGGAGCGAAGACGCAGCGCCGTTTCTTCACATTGCTGCTTTTTTGCCTCAGCCTTCTCAAGGAGGTTCGCCTTATCGGATGCGTCTGCCTCGAGGCCTTTGATACGCTCAGCAAAACCCTGTTTAAATTCCAACATCTCCTCTATCGTTAAAGTCGTCGGAGGAAGGGTCATTCGACTCAATGACTCTTGTTTCTCGTCGATGCGGCCTTGAATCATGGCAGCCTCGCGTGCCAAACCCTCCGCGCCCTGCTCCACAGCACTCAGCGCTGCCGTGACAGCATGTAGTTCCTTCAGTTGCGGTTCCAACGACTTGGATCGCTGCTGAATTGTGCGGACCAACTCCTCCTTCGCTGCAATGTCACCCGTGAGCTGTTGCGCCTGCTCCCGGTGCTCTCGTAACGCCATCAAGTTCGCCTCATGCTCCTTTTGCTGTCGGCGGAACTCTTTGCTATTCTCCCGAAGTCGATCGAGGGCCAAGACATAGCGAGTCGCCGCAAAAATCTCATCAAATATTTTTTTTACCTCTTTGGGCGGCAACAGAGGCCAATTGGCGTCCTCTTGATGACAGAAGATAACATGCTCTAGAACCGCCGGGGAGACACCCAACATTTCAGGCACGGCACGGTCCACATCGTTGGCGCGGTAAGTGCTAGATAAAACCTTACCGGTCGCGGTATCCTGAAATGCCACAGTGCTGTCAAGCGTCGTGAAGGTTGTTTTGGTGCGAGTACGCAAAGCCTGAAAGGAACGTATCACCTGCATCACCTTGCCGCCTCTCCCGGTGAAAAGGAGACGGATCTGCGCCTTGACATCCGTCTCGCCCATCACCTTAGGATCATACACAAAGGAGCTTTTCTCAGAGCCGCTACCCGGAGGCATTTGTCCCGTGCAGGCATTCAGTAATGCCTCGATAATTGTTGTCTTACCCGCGCCATTCTTTCCGAGTATAACAGTGAGAGGCTTCTGGAAAACAATTGTCTGACGGTGAGCCGGGTTGGGGTCAAAGCTGCGGACACCGCTGATTTGAATCTGCTCAATGCTTGTCATCCTCGGATGCCGCCTCTACTCCCGTCCACACACAGCCCTTTTCGCCGCCACAGAGAGGCATCCAAAGAAAAGAGCAAACGAACAACAACAACAAAAAAAAAGATCTATTTCCAGCCACACAACACTGGGAGGGGAGGAAAAAGTCATAAAGACCCCTCCGCTCCCAGCCAATAAATCCATTATACGCGTAAAGGAGATCCCCACGCGGAGACCAGAAAAGAAAAAAAAAAAAAGGTAGGAATGATGATTCTTTTTCATGGTTTATTAAAATAAAAATAAAATAAAAAGTAAGCGACAAGGCTCCGCGACTCCGAATGTGAGGCTTCACAGACAAAAAAAAAAAAGATCGCAGTGAACCTCAGTCCGCAGGAGAGAAGCGTCACATCCCGTCAATTAATTTGCCTACTTGGCGCCTGTAGGGCGGAATGGCACCTTCGTAGTGAAACGACGCTTGCGCATATCGGTAGGGCGGGCACGGACAGTACGGCTGTGGATGGCGCACGCGATGCAGAAGCGCTGCTTCATGTAGAGCTTGGGCATCGGGAAACCAGCGCCGTAGACGTTGGACGCCTCCGCCACATCGCGGGCAGAGGCCTGGTCAAGCATGCGACGCACAACAAAGCGCCCCACAGCCTTGTCCTTCGGCGCAAGACGGCCACAGTTGAAGCAGTGCACGGGTCTTGTGCGGCCACGGGAGCACGGAGGCTTGGCACGGCCATGATTGCGGCGCTTCGTCGTCATCCTTTTTTTTTGTCAACGGGTATTTAGCCTCCTTCGCTTAAGAGTGACACACACAAACCATAAAAAAAAAAAAAAAAAAACGAAACCGAAGGCGGGAGGAAATGTGTGTGTGTCTGTGTATGGGCACACGAGGAAATCCACACAATGTAGAAGAGAAGTGGGCCCCAAAGGCAGGCAAACAACAAAAATAAAAAAGAATAACAATAAAAACTTTTTTGCTTCGCGCTTCTCTTTCATGCATCAGTGTGGATTTGCTTTCCTCTCCTCTTGGCCTGCGTGGCGTTTCTGTCGGCCCATGGTGGGCAGCGAGAACCAACGCAGCCCCGCACATCCCCCCTCTTGACGCAAGGCAATCACTATCCGCGGCGACAACAACAAGAGAAAAACGCCCAAAGAAGTGTCAAGAAAAGGGAATAAACCAAAAGACTGAAAAAAACAACAACAAAAATATGAATCACGGGTCACCCCCCAACGTTAACGCAAGCATTGCACCTTCTTGTTTTCTGCTTCCCCCTCTCGCTGCCACAGGCACGCACACAGTCACCGCAGTCTTTATTTTGTTGTTCTTGTTCTTGCTGTTTTCCAGCTTTGGGGAGAATGGGTAAAAAAAATAATTCCCACGCACAATTCCTGCGGCCCCATTCTTCTTTTCCCCGTTACTCCCCATTAACACGCATATCTCACCGTCATTTCCTTTTTTCCTTCGCTTACACTATATTAGATGGCAGGTGAACACTGGTAAAAGATCCATAAAAACACGCAAAAGTGGGGGAGAAAAAAAAGAAGAAGAAAGGGACCAAAAAAAGGGCATTGACACACTACTCATGCTGTTTGACGCTACACACTGTCAATCCCTTGCATCCCCAACGCCATCCTCGTAGATGCCAAATATGGCCTCTGCTTCGGCGAGGCAAGGCGAGTCGTACACTTTCATGATGCGCTGTTCACCCCGTCCCTTGCGAAGACTCAGTCGGGTGGTGGACGCATGCGCCATAATATGGCCGCCAATGGGCTTTTTTGCATCTGCCTGAAACATTTGTGCAGAGCCATCCACATTAGCGACAACCTGATTTGTAACGACCACAGCCACGCCATATTCCTCCGCAAGATTATGCAGAGAACGAAGAAACTTCCCAAGATGCATCTGTCTTGCTGCAAGTTCATTACGTCCACTATAGTCCGTGCGGTAGAGTGCAGTGGCAGAGTCAACGATGATGATGGCAAAACGATTTTCAGCCATCATTGCAGATGCCTGAAGCAACAACTGTTGTTGATGATCGGTGTTAAAGGCACGTGCGCAGGCGACGTTGGAAAGCACGTCTTGTGGATCAAGTTTATAACGTTCCGCAACTGCAACCAATCGTTCGGGTCGGAAGGTGCCCTCCGTGTCAATGTACAGTGCCATTCCCTCCGCACCACCCTGCGAAATGGGCAGTTGACACGTGACGCACAGGGTGTGACATAGTTGTGTCTTGCCTGTACGGAATTCCCCAAACAACTCCGTGATGCCGCCAGTCTCAATGCCCCCACCGAGCAGTTTATCCACCTCCCGACTGCCGGTAGTCACCATGATGATCTCCTTACGTGCCTCGTGGTAAACCACTGCGGATGTAAAGCCCATTGGTACCAATTTCGCACATTCCGCCATAATTTTATCCGCCTTCGTTTCACTGATACCCTTGACAGCCAAAATGTTCTTTTTGGGTGCGTACGCGACTGACTCGACGGTGTAGAAACCAGACTCCATGAGCTTTTTAATGTCTGCAGAGGCAATACCGTAGCTTTCTAGCACTTGGATAACGCGAAAGCCGCCGTTGTTCGCGCCATCCACATTTTGTTGATCCTCCTGCTGCTGTTGCTGCTGTTCGGGGGCTGCAACGGGATCGGGCGAGGTGTTCGCAATCTCATGGACCTCCACCTCCTCAACGCCCTTTCGCTTGCCCCTCTTGGAGCGGGTGTTCATCTCTCACTCCTTTTCTCACTCTGTCTCCCACAAACACAGACACGCAGCAACTCTCTTACTTCCTCTTGGTTCCCGCGTGTTTCTAAATGACGCAAAAGCAGAAAAATTTTAAAAAAGCGGAAAAATAAAAAACAAAAACCGCGTGCGCGGCGTAAGACAAAAACACGCAGTAAAAACCCGCTCAACCCCCAAAAATATATATATATACCACAACCACACAATGTGTGCGTCTCGCACCGCACGACAAAATAATGGTATTGCCCACCCGTATTCCACGCCCAACAAAACAGAGAAGCCAAAAGAGAGTGAGTGAGTGAAAGTGAAAATGAGGACAAAAGAATAGCAAGACGCTCTTCGCAATCGTGGGCTTCACTGCATTCCTATTCCTGTGTCATCGCATGTGCTCCATCCCAGAGTAGAGTTCACCGCACACCTTACATTTTCCCCCCGTTGCACATTTCATCGCACAAGTTTTGCAAAAGAGTGCGTGGTGGCAGCTGTTGGTGCGGTACTCAATCTCCCCGGCGTGGCACTTCATGCAGGAAACCCCGTTCCCGGAGATGCAACTATGCCGCTGGGCGGTCACTCGGTGGCTCATACTCCTCGCCTTCACTTATTTATTTTCTTTTCTGTTTTTTCCCTCCTTTTGAAGTTCCTTGCGGTTTCCTAATTGCCTTACATCCGTTGTACCGTACGTCCAGAACCAAGGCTGATAAAAGAGCGACGCGGTGGGGAAAAGGAGAAACGCACGCAAAAAAAAAGAGGTGAGAGGCGGGAACCACACCAATGGCACACGCACAATCATTGGAAAATTCCAGTGAATCATGCCTTCTTCCGAAAACCACCAGAAAAAAAAAAAGGGAAACAAAGCGTGACGCAAATTAAGCATCCAACTTGTCGTACGCGAGTCTTTCATGTTCATGCGTTTCCGCCGCGGGTAAAGCGATGTGAAGGTGTCTCTTGTGAGCAGCTCAGAGGTGACATGGCCAAGGCCCGAAAAACACATTGCAACTCACAGGAGCATAGGCATCCTTCAACTCAACAATTGAGCCAAATACAGAGCACCCCTTGAAGGAACGGCCGGCAGTTCCTCTGCAAAGTAGACTTCCTCGGGCGGGGCTCAAGGCGCAGGTAATCCATCCGGTACTCAACGCTCTTCTCCATTCATTGCCGCAAGCGTCTACTCTTGAAAAGAAAAAGGCAAAAAAAAAAGCACTAGAATAAAAGCTAAAACAGCATTCAAAGGCAACATCAAGTTGCATCAACAGACGCCGCAAACACACACACACACACACACCATCAATACTATAGCAATAGGTATGCACATGTTTACCGCGATGTCAAGGTTATTCTGACGCTAATACGCACAATTTTATTCTCATTTTCGTTTCTGAGAAGTCTTCCTCCCTTTCCTGTTGACTTTGGTTGTTGTTTTTTTCGTTGTTGTTTTTTTTTTTTTTTTCTTGCGCCCTCATGTCAGTGAGGCACAATACGCGCGCCTTTTGAGGTCAATGAAGTGGCGCTCCTTTGCCTTTTCTCGGTACTCCTCCAGGAGATTGTCAAAGCGGAACTTGTCTGTGGCACAGTCCAACTGTAGTATCTTCTTTGCAATTTCCTCGCACTGTGCATCTAACGTCCTCACATCAGTCGCCAACGTTTTCGCCAGACTCTCAGGGGTGCCGATGGAATTCAACAGCGGCGTTGCTCGCAGCATCTTCTGCATGGACTGCACGTTCTGTTCGAGGGAACGTTGAAGCCCCTCCACTTCGGCTCGCAAATTCTCCACGACCGGCTGCAACTTCAAGTTCTCGTTTGCTACGCGCTCAATGTCGTCAATCGTCTGGCAACTGGCGTCACGAATGGCCTTAAAAAACGGCAACTGATAGGCGTAGGACTCCAGACAGTTGGGGTTCGACACAATGTCCTGCAGCATGGAGTCGGACAGCGAGCTCAGCTGGCTGGTAAGCAGCTCCATTGACGGCGGCACCACACTCCCCCACAAATTTGCCAAGTTGGCAAAGGCGTTCCCAACGGCATCCACCAGCTTTGACTTGGACGGATCCCACGCGTCAGGCGCGGAGCCGTCAGGCGAAGCCAGAGAAATCTTCCGGCCGTCAAAGTAAGTGACGATTGGAGGGGTGCGGGGAAAATGAACGCCCAGCGTCACGCAGAGCACCGCGGCATAGCCACGGTCCGGGATGACGTGCTCCACCTGCAGAAGCGTCTCCGCAGAAGAATTGTGGATCACCGTCACTTTGCCGAAACGACTCTTAAGCTCATCGACGTACGGCTGCAT